GAGGGACTTGTATTATACGATCAGGATTGCTTCTGGCTACTTTCATCGACCTAAAAGGCAAAAAGACTTCATGGGATGGGACTTGTGTTATTATAGAATTTAGTCACGGGAGCCACATGGATACCATGATGATCTACGTGTAAGACTTTATAGAGACCTGGAAAGAGAGAGCGATGAATCAAAAACTGATTCCTGTACATAGTGATGCAAGAAAGTGATGGTTAAATAGTGTATGGCTAATAGTGTACCCCCAAGTGTCTGGACGATCTTTTGAGCTTCCTGCAGGGTCCTGCGTATCAGATCCTCATTGACCTAGGCTCCACTGCAGCCACCGGTCGTTTGACAGTACAGCATATTGAAAACATGCTTGACATGGTACAATCACAATGTTGTCCCTTTCAAGGAACTGGTCACGCCTAAGCCATCGCGGGTCCCTTGCGCGTGATTGATCCACCCGCGAACAAGGGTCCTAATTCTTATCCATCCCACATTTCACAGCCCCTCAAGACAACCCTACATTCACATTCATGGTGCCCTTCATGTTGAATGTGGTGCTGTCCCTCTCTCTGCCATGATTAATTAACACGAAATATCCGTACTTTAGTAGTACATTTTGACTATTCTCATCCATACCCCTCTACGTCATCTGTCTCTTGCGCAAGATGCTTGATTAAGAGCTCCCGAAAGCTACTGTTTAGTTTAGCGGAACCTTCCCAACGATAATACACCAATAGATATGGCATCGAGTACCCGCCAGTCCCTCGACAACCCTCCTATAGACCTCTCCGTACCACAGCCGAATACCTCGAGTCCCCATTCCCTCTCCAAAGCTGTCCACGCGCGTCGTGCCGAATATACTCGTCCGCAGAAGATCAAGATAAAGATTGGAACATGGAACGTCGCAGCGTGTCCGGGAACTGAACGCGATCTAGAGGCATGGTTTGTGGAAGGCAAGGGTGTCTCTGAGCAGCTTTCTGGTGTCAAAATCTCGGACGGCTTTGGAGAAGATGGAGACCAGGTAGAGAGTGTTGGAGCGCAGGAGGCAAGACGGAACAAGAAACAAAGCACTGTCCCGAAGGATGATATTGGAGTTATCCCAGGGGGAGAGGAAATTGGGCTATACGTGTTGGGACTACAAGAGGTCGTAGATCTCTCAAGCGCTACTCAATATGTTGGACGTGTATACACGGATCCTGGACCTACAACGAAATGGCGCAAAGCCCTGACAGAGGCTCTGCCCTCTGGCTACGTGATTGTTGCAGAACAGCAACTCTCTGGCCTGCTCCTTTACGTTTGTGCTTCTCCCGATATAGCTCCCACGGTCAGCTCAGTCAGTACGGTGAGTGTAGGGACTGGGATTATGGGTTATCTGGGAAATAAGGGAGCAGTGACCACAAGAATTGTGCTTGGAGAAACTACGAGGATGGTTTTTGTAAATTCTCATTTGGCTTCTGGACATGATCCTGCCCATCTTGAACGCAGATGCTGGTAAGTACTTTATTTTCCAAAAAGCCCTAGGAAATCTGATGGATAAAACATCTAAACTCTTCGCTAACTCGCACAGGGATGTTACACAGATTCTTCAACGTACACATTTTGATCCTATAAGCTGGGCAGGAGTTTTGGATGATACACAGGAAGAAATTGGGCAGGAAGACTTCGCCTTCTGGTTTGGAGATCTGAATTTCAGGTTAGATGGGTTACCGGGAGACGATATTCGAAGACTTCTCATGTTGCATACGAAGGGAGAATATGATGTTGGACATAAATCGAGAGTGAAGATCGAGGGAGAGCTGGCGGCAAACGATAGTCCGATTGTCATTCATAATGTCGAGAGCGACGACGAATCCTCGGAAGGAGAATCGGAACCGAGAAGCAGCGAGACTTTGGATCAAGGCGATGATGAATCTTCGAACACTTTGCCAGATCCAGACGATTTTATTCAGGACCCTAGCCAAGATCCTGCTTCTTTACAAGCTACTCTCGACTCATTATTACCACACGACCAATTAAAGCACATGCAAAGAAAGAAGAAAGCGTTCCATGATGGTTGGCGGGAAGGGCCTATTACATTTTTACCTACTTACAAATACGATGTTGGGAGCATGGGAGTGTTCGATACTAGTGAGAAGAAGAGAGCACCAAGCTGGTGTGATCGAATTCTGTTTCGAACTCGAAGAGATAAGCTCGACTATGACACCAGGAAACAAGAAGAAGAGATGGCCAGGATCAAGGATGAGGAAATGAAAGCTCGAGGAATTGATCATGCTGGCGACGATGAAGATGTGTTATTTGATTACAATCCTGACGAGGACGGGACAGAAGATTCCCCTACGAAAAATAATGATTACGACGAATATGATGAAGGGGATACTGAACAACCAGAGACATTCGAGGCGAAAGAGGGATGCACAGACAAGATACATCAGGCCTTTTATACGTCGCATCAGAGGGTGCTTTCTTCAGATCATAAACCTCTGGATGCGGTTTTCACTCTCGAGTACGATGCTGTCGTTCCGGAATTGAAACAGAAGATTCAGCATGAAGTTGCACGAGATCTCGATCGAGCTGAGAATGAAGGGCGACCTGGAATTACAGTCGTTGTCGATCATTCAGCAGAGGTTGAAGAGGTTCCAATGAGCGAACGTCCTAAATTAAAACGAGTGTCAACTAGTGGGTCTGGAGGAGTAAATTTCGGAGACGTCGCATATTTGCAAAGGAAGATCCGGAATTTGACAATTGCGAACACAAGCGCCATTCAGGCAACATTTTCATTTGTAGAAAGGCCAAGTGTCTCGGGCGAGAGTAACAGGATCGCTCCTCCCTGGCTTTCTGTTCGCTTTGTTGGGTCAGAAACAAGTGAAGACGAAAGGGTGCTGCAGAAACTCAAACGCGAAGTGACTTTGGAGCCCGGTGATGCTGTCAATGTAACACTGGAAGTTTTCATTGACGATGTGACGCTGGTGAGAGCGCTCAATGACGGCTCCATGCTCGACGATGTCCTTGTTCTACGAGTCACCGAGGGAAGAGATCATTTCATTCCCATACGCGGAACATGGCTACAATCTTGCTTTGGCAGATCTGTAGCAGAACTCATTCGCATTCCGGAAGGTGGTGTCCGTGCTTTATTACCTCGACCTAGACACGATGGCCCGCCGGTCAACAGAGGCCAAGAAGTTTGCTGGTCTGCACCTCGCGAGCTCTTCAAGCTTACGGAAGCAGTAGAAATACTCACTGAAAGGGTACTGGCTGATGCAAATATGCTGGAAAGCTCTCAGGTCCCTAAAGAAGCAGCGGGATGGCCTTTCGATCATTCAGCTTGGCTGTTGAAAGACGCTAAAGTTAGAGAGCAGCGAATAGCTCATATTCTTGAAGCACTCGACGCTGATAAGAACCTGAACGAGTGTTTCGCTCCAGAAACACCAGCGATTCAGAGATTAGAAATCGTGGCCAAAGTTCTGATCATGTTCCTCAGTAGTCTTACTGACGGCCTTGTTCCAGAGCCTCTATGGAGTCGACTCGAACAAGACATAATAGCCAGAGGGCCCAAGCCTCTGATAGACAGCGAAGAGATCAAGACCTGGGTTTTAGACGTCCTCTCCAGCTCCCCAAACCACAACATCTCCTTCGTATTCCTCACAAGCATGCTCTCGCGCGTAGCGGGCGAACTTGCACCAATCCCCAAAGCCTCATCATGGAGGGACATCAAAATGGGCAGCGCAAGATCTAGCTTTGACACAGTCCGTCGCTCTCTAAGTTGGAAAGGAAAAGCTCCACCTCTACCTGAAGATCCTTCTGTTATTCGACGACAAGAAGTGGAAAAGGCTTATGTGGATGTTTTCCGGGATGTGGTGTTTAGAGCGCCGCTTGGATTGAAGGATAAGGATAGGAGGGCGATGGAGGAACGGCAGAGGGAGGTGCTGGAGCCTTTCGTTAGGGGGACGAGGGATGGTCCGCCTTAATTGAGAGTTGTGGGATATGGATTTGGGGAGAATTAGAGATTGTAATGCTTAATATTATGTATAGGAAAGTGCCTGCCACCGCAAGCAATGATGAAATGTGACCTTTTGGATAACTCCCAAACACATCTCAGTAACTGTAGCAGATGCCACCTGATTACGAATTATCGAGCATGCCACTCGAGCGGAAGCCGAAACTAGTGTGCGAGGCCATAGTATAATCCTGGATAATTGTAAGAAAGAAGTATAAAATAGTTCGATCCACGTCCAAGTTGTAGATATTACAATGCTCCCGTGAAGAAGCACCCTTCCGAATGGACCATTTCGTCCCGAAACCAGTTGATTAGGTCCTATCTGTCACATACTCTAGAAGCTAGTATATTAAAGGCTAGGAAGAAGAAGTATTACGTAATATCAGGTAATCTAAGTTATGTTAGAGACAGAGAAAAAGTCTACTTCTATATTAAACATAAGATTAAGGAGTCTTATAAATAGTATACGCCGATTGGGATTATAGGCGTGCGGTGATTTCCCTCGCCGGGTTTAGAAAATGATACATATAGCCGCCCCCAGCTACCCTCTAGCATAACGTAATATAACAAAGTAAACGTTTTAGACCATGATATATACCATAAGATAAAAGACTAAATAAATTGAGCGAAAGTAATAAAGCATGCATGCCGTATGGGATTAGAAGCGCAACTCATTTCCCCGGCCAGGCCAGGGAAATAAATACACTCAACACCTTTAAGGAAATTGCGTCCCAACTCTCTTTTCGCAGTTTACAGAGAATTCCAGTGGAGTTTTCGTGGACTAATGCAATAAAATAACGAGTTCGAATAAAAATACAGTCTAGTAATGTGAGTTCCCTCGCAGCATAGTTTGACTATGAAGCGATGAGTTCTGGTGGGGTCGCGCAAGCGAGGCCGGCGAGGCGGGGTGGTGCTTAAACTTCGGGAATTGTAACAAAGAGAAGCACTTGCATATATAGTATTAAATAAGCACAAACACTCATAACAAAGCAGTTTCCGACTGTTCAGTTCCGGAATGGTGTATCGGTAACATTTCTGCCTCTCAAAATAAGCAATTATAAAGGTCGCAGGAGCGCGGGGTTCGATTCCCCGTTCCGGAAAACATTCTTTTTGACAATTTTAGATTTGAATTCATTCGTACTTTCTTTTTTCTCTTGGAAGTTTTTTTGCTTGACGTTGGTCGTGGCGAGATTACAGAATTTACCTAGGGCTTGTGCCGTGGCTGAAATTTACCCGAGTTCGGGTCGGGAGTTTCGCACTCTCGAGAAACTGTAGACTTGCTGCAACCTTCGAAAGCTTAGTGCAGCGTGTTTGCAAACCTGCAGAGAAAGATAAAACGAAAATAAGACCCGAATAGGTGAAATTGTATTTAATGTTTTACTCCGTTTGAAGGACTCAAGACTTTCGGATCAAGGTATCTTACAGGTGAAGGTGGAGGTCAGTGTCCATATTATGTTTCCTCTATTACTCGTAGCCGGGATACTTTCTCAGCCTCAATTTGGGCATGACAGTGACATGAAAACTTCGCATATTCCGTAACGGAGAATCGTGCCCCGCGCTCCTGCGGCCTACAATAATTGTTTATTTTGAGAGGCAAAAGATAGATAAAGCACGTGATGTCTTCTGAACAACCAATGTGTTGGAATCTCAGGCACTTGTGTTGTAATCTCAGGGTCATAAATGAGTGTATTCCATCAAGGAGAAGGTGACCGTTGATTTACAGGTGGGCTTCCAGAGCCCATAATATGGGTGTGGCACTAGGCCAAAGCGTACCCTTGAAACAGGTTCCAGACCTAGTTGCAACACAATGAATGCAAAAGCAAATGATCAGGCTGTCATAGAAGTTTGAATCCCGTGACGTGGAATGTTGAGTATGAATCGAAGTAATTTGTATACCAAAACGATAGAAATGGCGGCGCTGCTGCCAATTTTTTCTTTGCTCTCGCTGCAGGCGCTGATATTCATTCTATACCTGCTTTCAAGTATCTTGCTCTCAGCCAAGCATTTCCTGAAAAGGCTACCCTCTAGGCATATTCTTTAATGCTGATGTGCAAAATTTTGCCTGGAATTCTCAGCTGCAACCGCAAGCTTAATCCCTCGAGTGATATGCGGGATTGTCCTATGAACTGCCGAATTGACTTTCTTGACTGGCAGGTTGAAGAGGACTGCTACTAACAATCAAGGTTTTGTGCTCGTCATTTCATTACGATTCAAGCCCACAAGGATCACTTTATTCTCCTCTGTAAGATGGGACTCTCTTGGATTCTAAGCAATAATAGCGACAAATGATCAGATTCACTTTGCTGAAAGGTATTTCTCAAAGGCTACAATCTGACTTATTGTCATTCTTTCTTATCTACAGTTTGAAAATGCCGTTCTAGGCTCTTTTAATATATACAAAAATCTCCACACGAAAAAGCCATGCAGAGTCATCCAATCACCATATATACACCCATCCTTAAAACCCCTAAATCCAGTTTTAAAACTCCCTAAAGTCCTAGGCCCAAATCATTCATCATCACTATCTTGAACCAATGTCTGAAAATCTATCTCTCCCTTTCCCAGGCAGAAAACCCACTTCACATCTTCCCACCCAGCTCTCCTCGAAATCCCAACATCGACATCACAGACCGGTTTTCGCACGCCAGTGCCGAGTTTCTGGAATGCACGCTCTGGAACTGTCGAACCTTCAACATCGAATCCTAATACGATGGCTGCAATGAAAGCCAGGATTTCTGTCGTAGCGAAATGACGACCTGGACACAAGTGTTTTCCACCTCCAAATGGGAAGTAGCCTTGAGCCTGTTTCCGCTTGGTATCTTTGTCTAGAGATGCTTTTGTCTTAGGGAGGAATCGTCCAGGGTTGAAGGTGTTCGCATCTGGACCCCAGATAGCGGGCGAGGTGTGTGTGACACCCGAGGGAAGTTGAATGACAGCAGGCGACTGCAACGAATACGTGGTCGACGATGACGGCGAAGAAAGAGTCGTGGGAGCGACGACTGAGCGGACAGACGTCGCCGCACCCACCAAGCGTAAAGTTTCGTGGAAAGAAGAAACGAGAAGCGGACACTGCGATTGGAACAATGTTGTATCGACGACCGCGCAGTCCTTCCCATCTCTTGTAGTTCGTTTTACAACTCGAAGCACTTCGGTTCGAATTTCCCTGAGTAAGTCGGGATCCGAGAGAATATAGGACAGCTGCCAAAACGATGTTGAAACTGTATTTGTCGTTGCCAAGAAAAGCGTTGAGACTTCAAAGTTCGCAATATCGCTGTCGCTGAAACCCCATTTCTTACACCCATCGTGATGCGATCGGATCAACATGCTTGCTTCCTCCTGATATCCTTTTGCGTAGTAATTAGCAAATGCTTCCCTGATCTTAATCCGGCCGTAGTAGGCATTTGGTGCAATAAATGTCGGTAAAAACTGAAGCATGAGTAGGGTACAGTCTGCTTCGAAATGCCTGCGAAACTGTCAGCTTCTCGTCATCGTAGAGAAATTAATGACTTCCGCATTCGCGATGAGGGATGAACATACCAGAGCGCGTCAACGAGCTCGTCATTCCCTGTAAATGGATTATGTGGGCCATAAATCGCCTCAGCCGATGCAATAGTAATTATGTTTCTCATCCACCTGTACAATCCCATATTTTCCTTTCCGGAACCAATGCCGTTGAGGGATCCTGCCACTCTGTCTAACACAGCCCTATTCAAATCTAATAACGCCGGACCCGGTGAAAGTGCTTCTACCATAAGTCTATGATCTTCGTTTAAAAAGGAATAGCCATTATTTCCGTTTAGGAATGGTCCATGTGGATCGTATCCTGGAGCTGTCTCGCCTCGTATTATCTTCATTCCATGCTCGCTGATGCCAAATAATCGTTCGGAGGATTCAACAACGAAAGATCCAAAATCGAAAGCTTTCGCGTTTCGGTATGCTGCTTGTATTAAGGAAGGGTCACAGATAACGTATATTCGTGAGGAGAATATCCTCAATGTAAATGCTGGCCACGAAGGACATTTCGAGCTGGTAGCACCAGTGTCAGCCTCATCCCAATTGTGCGGAATCGTGATGTCGTGTAAGTGGTTTGGTGTAATTTATTTACCTCAACATCTGCATATATCCAACTTGCCATCTCAACATCCCTATTAAATGACCGAATAATGGGATTTTCGACCCCAACACTGGCGGCTCTCGTGTTTCGCAACTGCCTTTCCCTTTGTTGAAGAATGCTGCAACTCCCACCGCCAAAACGAATGCTACTGCGGCTGGTACGAACATGCTACCAGAATTGCTGTTATGACTCTGCGGGTCCAATGTTGTAAACAAAGGGAGACCCGTCCAATTCGACTCCATTATGGCGATATGTTGACCCCTCTCCACCTGTATAGACAAACAATTGGGGTCTTAAACCTCCCCTCTTGACAATCTGACGCGTCATAGGATACCAACAGCAATTATCAATAAACAAAATACGTTCCAAGAAAAGTATAGAGAGGAAAGGTTGCCTACTTGGCCTTTGGACATTACAATAGAGCTCCAGGAGGAGGGATTTGCTTATACCTGTTTGATGTGCCAGGACTAGTTCTCCCGAGGAAGCCCAAAACCCGGGTAGCTGCCCAATAGCACAAATGTTTCTGCCAAGAGCTCTGCTCCAGAAACGCCAGTCGCAGGTTTTGGGCGCGTTGGAACGTCGAGATCAGACGCTCAGATGTGACGGGTTGTGGTTGTCGTCGCATGAAAAGCTGCCGGCGAGAGAGACTGCCCATGTTTCACAGCGCCGTCCGTTCGGATGCACATTTCCCGGCCTTCGCGCTAGCGAAGCGAGGCGAGGGTACCGCCAAAAAGCCAGACTTGCCTTGCTCGGAACACTCGAAGCCGTTCATGAACTCGCCATCCTTTCGAAAAACAGCTCCACATCCCGAGAATGATTCATATCTAATAGATGGAATGGAGGATCCCCGGATTAGGGGCGTTCGTCATCCTTGGAAGAGCAAGCCATTTGAGGAGATCACCCGCCTTCAGCCAAGCAGATGAGGATGGGGCCATCCTGCATTGTCAGTCCGGGCTTTTTTGTTTGTTCCTCTGATATGTCTTGGATGAGATGAACAAGCCTCGAGTTACATCTGGGGTGTGCAATTGAAGAATCCCAATACCCATGCGAACGGCCCGGACAATTCTGTTGTATTTCTTTTCTATTTCCAACTTTCAAGACAGGGACAAACTGCTGAGAAGTTTTTAACAGATGCTTTGCGTTTCTTTCATTTGCGTCCAATACATTGCCTTACGTAGGCTCTCCGGATGTGGAGTTTGCCGTGTTGGTAACTTGGTTGAGCTAATATCTCTTGATAGTCGCTTTACCAAGTAAGACATGAGAGCTCCATATCACTTCCTTATCGATAGACGCGGAAGTCAAGCTCCCCGCAAGGGATTGGCAAGACATCCGCCATCATTCTTCCCGTGTCATGTGTAGTACTGAGGAAAACCTCGTGTGAGTGCTGCCCGGCGGTGAGCCTTTACGAGCAATTATCATCAAGTCTCGGCGGTTCTTTCGGTGTTCAACCAGTTTCCTCAACCCAACATTCAAGATCCAAAGCTGAACCAGACGAATCAAACACTGTCAAGATTTCTCCCCGACGCTGAATTCATTTGACTGGCCCACAACACATCGCGGGCCGTCCAGATAAAGTTAAAACAAAGACGTTCCTTCGGGAAATCTTGCCTCCGGGAGGTGTGCCACCTGTTTGCTTTTCAGCCCAACCTCCTTAGGAATCACCCACAACATTCCTCTGCAAGATCTGGAAACCTCAGATGAGACAGTGTGGAAGGCAGTCTGCCATTGGTTGGCAACAGAAGAACTTTGGCAACGTGCCATGTGCTGGCCTTTTTGCCCATTTCATCATCACCTCTCACGATCTTTCTCTATAAGATCTAGAGACGTATTGAAATGCAACTTGCAAATTGCTTATGCTATTAGTCTGCATCAAAAGAATCCAAGCTTTCCTTTTCGAATTGTCACCACATGTTTACCTTTCAGCCGATGCACTGCCCTTTCATACTACGCTCTCATTAAATATCAGATTTTGTTTCCGCCCTAGAT